TTTCATTGTGTTGATGGTTTTCTTTGCCGTAGAGAGGTTTTAAATTTGATAAGTCCCAGTTATTTATTTTGCTTTGTTGTCTCTGCTTGTGCTGTTAATCCAAAAAATTATTGCCACAACCCATGTTAAAGAGCTCACCCCTGTGTTTTCTTCTAGGAGCTATCCAGTTTCAGGTGTTACATTGAAGTATTTAGTCTATTTTGTGTTGATTTTTGTTTGTGGTATAGGACAGTGGTCCAGTTACGTTTTTTGGTATGTGGCCATTCAGTTTTCCCAACACTCATTATTGAAGAGCCTATGCTTTCCCCATTATATATACTTTGGATTGTTTCTCATTGATTAATTAACCAGACATGTATGGTTTCATTTCTGGGCACTCTATTTTCTTTCATTGATTTATTTGTATGCCAATACTGTTTTGATTACTATAGCTTTGTAATATAATTTTAAACCAGAAAGAGTGATGTTTCTAGTTTATTTTTTGTTTGTTATTTTTTTCCTCCAGATTATTTTGGCTATTTAGGTATTTTACAATAAATTTAGGATTCTTTAGTCTATTCCTCTGAAAAATGCCATTGAAATATTGATAGAGATTACACTGAATATATAGATTACATTGGGCAGTATGAATATTTTAGCAATATTAATTTTTCCAATTCAGGAGCATGAAATATCTTTCTGTGTATTTCTGTCTTCTTCAGATCTTTCATCAATGTCTTTTAATTTCATCTTTAATATATTTTTACATTACCTTTTAGTCCCCTCATACACCCCTCACCCCAGCAATCACCACACTGCTATCCATGTCCATTGGTCCTTTTACCTTTTTGCCCAAACCGTCTACCACCTACCTCTCCCCCACAACAGCTATCATCTGTAAGTCTTTCCCTATTTTCCTTATTAACTCAGTTTGTTCATTAGATTCCATATATGAGTAAAATCATATGGTATTTGCCTTTTTGTGCCTGGCTTATTTCACTTAGCATGATGTTCTCCAGGTTCATCCATACTGTCCCAAAAGGTAAAATTTTCTTTTTTATGACCTAGTAGTATTCCATTGTGTAAATGTCCCATAGTTGTTTTATCTATTCACCTACTGATAGACACTTGAGCTGCTTCCATATCCTGGTGATTGTAAATAATGCTGCAATAAACACAGGGGTGCTTATGTTCTTTTGAATTAGTGTTTTGGGTTCTTTTGGATATATTCCCAGAAGTGGGACTGCTGGATCAAAAGGCAGATCCATTTTTAATTTTTTGAGGTATCTCCATACTGCTTTCCACAGTGGCTGCACCAATTCGACTTCCCACCAACAGTGCAAAAGAATTCTCTTTTCTCCACATCCTCACAGCAGTTGTTATTGATTTATTAATGATGGCCATGCTGACAGGTGTGAGATGGTATCTCATTGTGGTTTTAATTTGCATTTCTCTGATAATCAGCGACATTAGCATCTTTTCATATGTTTATTGGCCATCTGTATGTCTTCTTTGGAGAAGTGTCTATTCGGGTCCAATTTTTTAATTGGCTTGTTAAGTTTTGTTTTGTTTTTGTGGGGGTTTTTGGTGTTGAATTTCCTAAGTTTTTATAAATTTTGGATATTAACCCCTTATCAGATATGTCAGCAAATATGTTCTCCCATTCTGTGGGATGTCTTTTTATTTTCTTGATGATTTTCTTTGCTGTGCAAAGACTTTTCAGTTTGATGTGGTCCCACTTATTGATTTTTTCCTTCTGTTTCCCTTGTCTGGGGAGACAGAGCCAACGATATTGCTACAACAATGTCCAAGATTTTGCTGCCTATGTTTTCTTCCACAATTTTCATAGTTTCAGTTCTAACATTTAAGTCTTTGTTCCATTTTGAATAATCTTGTGTGTAGTGTAAGAAGGTGGTCTCGTTTCATTTTTCTGCACATATCAGTCCAATTTCCCCAACTTCATTTATTGAATAAAGTAGCTTTAGCCCATTGTATGTGCTTGCCCCTTCTCTCAAATATTAATTGACTATAAAGGTGTGAGTTTATTTCTGGACTCTCTATTCTGTTCCATTGATCTATGTGTCTGTTTTTATGCCAGTGCCATGCTGTTTTGATTACTATGGTCTTATACTATAGTTTCATATTAGGTAGCATGATTCCTCCAACTTCGCTATTTTTTCTCAGAACTGCCATTGCTACATGGGGCCTTTTACAGTCCCATATAAATTTTTTTAATATTTGTTCTAATTCTATGAAACACATCATTGGAATCTTCATAGGAAATGCATTGAATGTATGAAATGCTTTGGGTAGTGTGGACATTTTAATAATGTTAATTCTTCCTATCCATGAACACTATATGTGCTCCCACTTATTTATATCTTCTACTTCTTTCTTCACGTCTTATAATTTTCTGAGTACAGGTCTTTTACATCCTTGGTTAGGTTTATTCCTAGATATCTTATTCTTTTTGCAGCAATTGTGAATGGGATTGTTTCCTTAATTTCCCATTCTCTTAGTTCACTAACAGCATATAAAAATGCAACTAATTTCTGGATATTAATTTTGTAAAGTAATGTACTACAAACATAATCAATACATAAATAAAGTTAAAGAGTGCTTATAACTTCCAAAATATTTGCCTCAGCAATACCCTAGGTGGTACTGACAGCAAAATTCCAGTAGACAACTGTAACCCAACCAGAAACATTTTTGTGACTGCATTCATTATTTGCCATTAGGTTGCTCATTTATGCTTTCATCTTACTGAACTCTGACTTTCTCTTGTGATCTGAATTACAATGAGAGTATTAAATTAAATCTGTGGTTACCTTTGCATATTTTGTGACTTCAAACATTTAGATTGTGATTCACTGCGTGCATAATTTTTTAAATTATGCAAACCAGCAGCATTCCTCTTACTTTTTCCAGGTTTTCTCTAATGAACTAACCTCATAGTATACTTTTTTGTGCTATAGCCTAGCAGATCTATAGCTTATCTTTTTAACAAGTACAAAATATGCCTCACCTTTTCCCCTGTAAAAAGGGAACTGTATAATACTTAACCAACATGGTTGTTATGAAGGTTAAGTAATACAACTTTTGTAAAACACTCAATACTAAAGAAAGTGCAGGCAGATAGTAAGTTTTAAGTGCTGTATATTCTGTGCCCCTATTACTCATTTACTTATTTCAAATAATTTAACACAGTAAATGGGGTATTATATGCCCTATTATTTCCTTTGTGCACTTGGAAGGAAGCAGGATTACAATGAAAAATAAAATCAAGCATATATCCAGCAAGGCCATATAAGGAATATCTATCTTTTTGTCTGTAAGCCACTTGTCTCACAAGTAAATCCCTTCAAATGATGAAAACCAAGATGTTTGTACACTAACTCTTTTTTGAAGTATTTTTTTCTAATTTCAAAAGACATAATCATTGTTATAAAATTCCAACATGAGAGAAACTTGTAACTTCAAAAAAAAAATCTATTTATCCGAACCCGGACTCTATCCCTAGAGATAATTAATGCTGATAATCTGTGTAAGTTTTCACATGTTTCTCCTATTATATATATTTACTAAAAATAAAACTACATTTTACATACTGCTTTGCACCTGGCCTTTATTCATTTATTTAATGCCTTTGGTGTTTGAGTCAACACATTTGATTTCTCTCATTTTTGATGGCTGCAGAGAGCAGTAACTCATGGATGCACTTGTGGCTGTCTGTGTACCTACGCACAAAGCCACGGAGCATTCAGACCTCATTAGGAAAAGCCTCTCTGCTGACCTTTGACCTTTGTATAGCCATCTACTCACTCTCTCTTCCTCGCTAAGCCCTGACCCAAAAGGGGTATCAGGAGAGTGATTCGGAAGATCTTCTCAGTCCACACCAGAAGACCAGAGCTTTCTGAGTGCAGGGAGAAAGACTGAGCTGCAGAATGAGCACAAATTCATCCTCTGGTTAATCCCAAGGACCACAGAAACATCATAAATGCAACACCCTCGACGTGAAGTTCCCCTGTGCAGTGTGGGTGCCCAGTCACGCACAGCTCGCTTAAAGCAGGAAGGAGATTTTATCTGAGGATGTTAATGTCAAGTGAACTTATTTTAAATTGTCATGGGAGGCCATTCATCCCCACTTTGCATCTTCCACTTCAAAGCCTACATTTCATCATTCAAATATTTACCCTGGGAGCAATTAAGTCCTCTTTTATCTTTTCCATGCTTTCATTAGCTGCAGTTTTTCTTTTTTTAGCTTACAGAAGGATAGACCTTTTATACAAAATGCCAATATGTCAAACACCAAATATTCATTCCCATGCAATGCATATGTGTATAGTAACTTACTCTACTGTAACAAATGTAATGTTATTTAATTGTGTACCAAACTTACACATAATTGACTCACCAGGTATAAAGACTATACTATGCAGACAGCTTAGACCATTCAGCTTAGTTGAGGCTTTTGTTAAACATGTAAAGCCGCAGACTCCACACCATAAGAAAATTTTCTGTAGAAAGGAACTACAAGCTTTTTTGTCAAGAAGACAAAGGAGATAATTATACCAACTGGTACTTTCATGGCTGGACAGGCTACGATGCCTCTGTGGCATCAACCAGGAAGCCCAGGTGTCAAGGCCGCAGGGAACCTCCTTTCTGCCACACAGGAATGCTGAGGAAACCAGAGATGTTGGGGAAGAGTGTCCCCAAGCTTGGAAGCTCCCTGGAACACCCAACCTGCTGAAATCCGTTGTCCAATTTGCTGAGGGTTAAATAGAAAGTGTTTCAGAATTGCATAGGTAAAGCCTAGAATGATCGCACGCATCAGAACTAAAACAACAGGTCCTGTTCTCCGTCCATTCACGGAACCCAGGTAGCGCTACACCACGCTGGGGGTCAAGATCTGGTGATTGGTACCTCCCATAAGTCCAAGTACACCATGCTGAAATGCTGTTTTGAGAAATAAAAATGCCTTGTCATATTTCTCATGACTTTCAACCTGTTTCTTACAGATACCATTGTTCTTATCGCTTCAATAGCAGTTGTTTCTGCAAAAACTCAGGGAAATATTTTTGCCACGTCCGCACTGAGAAGTCTCCGTTTCCTACAGATCCTCCGTATGGTGCGCATGGACCGCCGGGGAGGCACTTGGAAATTACTAGGTTCAGTGGTTTATGCTCACAGCAAGGTAAGACTTACTATCTCAGGTATAGAACAAGAGTTTATTTTACTTTTTCACAGACCGCTGTAATATTTGATAAACTTATCAGAAGCAACCCTAGTCATTTCAGAAACTTGTCAAAGTAATTTGGAGCTACTGTGTATAATGGATTGTTTAAATGTCTTCATAACCCTGACCGGTGTGGCTCAGTTGGTTGAGCACCTTCCCGCAGAGCAACAGGTCGCCTGTTCAATTCCCATTCAGGGCACGTGCCTGGGTTGCAGATTCAGTCCCCGGGTGCGTGCAAGAGGCAGCCTGTCTCGGTTTCTCTTCCTCGTGGATGTTTCTCTCCTTCTCTCTCTGCCCGCCTCCCCCTCTCTCTAAAAATAAATAAATAAAATCTTCAAAAGTCATCATAAATATACGAGAAGTAGTCAAACAAGTAGAATCATACGTAGATTTGTTTTTCTTTCTCAGATTTTTTTACTTCTAAAACTCTTTCATTCCTTTTTTATCCAGGAATTAATCACGGCTTGGTACATAGGATTTTTGGTTCTTATTTTTTCATCATTCCTTGTCTATCTGGTGGAAAAAGACGCCAACAAAGAGTTTTCCACATATGCAGATGCTCTGTGGTGGGGCACGGTGAGTATAAAAATCTGTTTTTATGTATTAAATGTGAAGTTTTTTCCTTTGAATACAGTGTAATCATTCCTACGAATGGTCTCAATAAAAATACTAACTCCAAAAGGGAGTTAGGTGGAAATACACAGCAGTTATAATTGTCTAAAGAATTCCCCTCCTCTTTGGCTCAGCAACGTTAAGTTCTCTTATAAATTGACAAGTAGTAATGCTTGAGTGCTAGGTTGTTTCCAAAATAAAAATATATTCTTTAAACTGTGATTAAAATGTTGATAGGCTTATTTGTTTGTTTTACCTTTTTGGAGCACAGATTTAATTTAAATTACCGAGCACTGTATCTGATGAATCTCTTATTCATCAGATTGTTTATCTGATATAAAAAATAAAGGAACAGTAGCTGAACAAAACTTAGAAAAGTAAAATTATGGCACAAAAAGTAAAAAAGAAAAGGCCAGTAACCATCTGTGAGATCAGAGATTATAGACACCTAATTTCAAAACTTTTCATTCAAAAAGCTACTTTTCCTTTATGTTTTTATTAAAGGATAGTTTCCCAAACAAAGTAATCATGACTCTCATACAGAAAGAAACTAAACACATGCTAAAGATGTTAACTCATGTTTAAATATTAATGAGGGAACCAGTAAGATATCACAAATAGTTCAAAGGACTATCCAAAGAACAGAAGCCTCAATCAAGTTCAGGAATATTGAAGTGAACGAGCAAAAAACTGTGGTTCATTTACATAATGGAGAACAACTCAGCTGTAAAAAAGCAGGAAGTCATGCCTTCTGTGACAGCACGGTTAGACATTGAGAGTATTATGCTAAGTGAAATAAGCCAGTCAGAGAAAGACAAATACCATATAATTTCACTTATATGTAGAATCCAATGAACAAAATAAACTAACAAACAAAATAGGGACAGACTCAGAAATACAGAGAATAGACTGACAACTGTCAGAAAGGAAGAAGATTGGGGGCTGGCTGAAAAAGTGAAGGGATCAAGAAAAACAAAAAACAAAAACACTCATAAACACAGGCAGCAGTAAGGTGATTACCAGACAGAAGGGGTGGTGGGGGAGAAGTAGAAAAGGGTGGAAGGGGGATAAATGGTGACATAAGGAGTCTTGACTTGGGGTGCTGAACACATAATATGATATACAGACGATGTACTGTAGAATTGTACATCTGATACCCATATAATTTTATTAACTAATGCCACCCCAATAAATTCAATAGCAATTTTTATTTAAATTTTTAAAAGAAAATATGCAAATAAAGGCAAAAGTGGCTTCTTCCACAACATGAGAGGGAAGTCAATCAAACCACCACTAGGCAGAATTTCTTTCTATGTCTATAGACAAGAATTATTTTGCGGTGCTACCAGCTATCTACAACTTGCAGAGTTGTAAAAGAGCTCCAAGAACATGAAAGGCGCAGTGCCCCATAAAGTCAGAATTCAATAACCTGGAAGGGTGTACTCTAAACAATGGGTAGTTTTCCATTGAAGCAAAACTTTTTCTACATTGTAAAGAATTTAAAAAGCAGTCATTGGCTGGAAGAGGCCTTAGAGGTCACACATCTATCCACCTATTGAGGAATATGAAGCCAATGTGACTTATTACCTTATATCTTATCATTAATAGAGGCCATGGCAAAACGAACTCCCAAGGCCCTCTTTCTATGAAAGTACAGACATTAACTAGATGTGAGTCAGAAAAATACTATCAAATACAATGTTTGCAAATACGGTGATATTGGTATGCATTAAATAAATGTACTGCCTAAAGGAAAAATAAATAAATGAATAAAACAAAATAAAAAGCAGTCATTTAAACATGTGCTTAATAAGAATGTCACAGGGTAAAGAAGGTCTTTGTGCAATGTATAAACCCTTCTTTTAAATTTTACTCCTTAAGACATTTCAATAGGGTGTTATGTGAAAATATACAGCATTTATAATTGTTTAAAGAGTTTCCCTATCTCTTTGGTCCAACAAAGTTAGGTTCTCTTATAAATCATCAGTAATATTTCTTGAGTGCTAGATTGTTGCCAAAATCAAAATACATCATTTTCTTAAACTGTGATTAAAACATTAGTAAGTTGTTCATTTCAACATTGTGGATGGAGCAGAGGTTTAAGCTACCGGTTGGCACATTGTCCCCCTGCTCCTCAAAGCCTCATCAGCAGGAACCAGACTTTTGTCAAGGACAAAGGAAGTTTCTCAGGGCTTGTGTTAAGCAGAACTTGGTGTGTGTATTGGTTGTCTAGCAGCAATGATGTGAGTAAGAATCAAAAATGTATTCGCCTGGCCCTGGCTGGTGTAGCTCAGTGGATTGAGCTTGGGCCTGTGAACCAGACAATCACAGTTTGATTCCCAGTCAGGGCACATGCCTGGGTTGCAGGGGGGTTCCCTGCAGGCCAGATCCCAGCAGGGGACACACAAAAGGCAACCACACATTGATGTTTCTCTCCCTCTCTCCTTCCCTTCCCCCCTAAAGATAAATAAAGAAAATCTTTAAAAAAATGTATTCGCCTGAAGATTAATATTTCTTCCCTTCAGTTACCAGAGTAAATGTCTACAAGATTATGCAAATGATAACAAAGCATTTTGTTGGTGTGGTAATTTAGCGTCCCGCTCCTCTCCCTGCAACCCCCACCCAGAGAATGATGGACATTCAGAAAGGAGGACAGAGAGCAGTCACCTGACAGTCTCGAAACACTTTCTATCTGTAGAGAGTAAACAAAAATTGTTGACTCGTGGTGGGATAAACTGTGTAAACTGAGAAAACAGGAGGCTTTTCTAGCTGGTGAGGGGAAGGGAATTTATAATCCCAGCCTTCAAAGCCACCGTTTGAATGTAAGGTTAGTTTTGCTTCTCTTTGATGGCTCTATTTGAACTCCTGCATCACTCAGGTGCACCTCTTCCCACCGAGATGCAGTTGGTGAGGCCGTCCTGGCAGCCCCTGGTCCATTTTTCCATCCCTCTTCCTTTTCCCTTATTACTAATAAGAACTGTGGTGTTGTGCGTTAAGCAGTGTGTGGGAAACTCTTAATACATCTCTCACTCAGTCACCAGCTTGTTTCTTTTGCCAGAATAATCCAAGTAGCAGATTTTCAAAGATCATATCTGTGACCTTCAGTGGGAGGGGAGGGAGAGAACAACATATTTTCATCAATTTCCATTTTATTAGTGCTATTTTGACTGAAATTTAACATGTACTTAATAGGCTCTTTGAATGGCCTAATTATCTCTCTAATTTTTAAGAAAAAATCTATTCTTGAATATTAAAGTAAAAATCTTCTAAGACAATAAGTTCCTAGGAATAAAAATGGCCTTTTGGGATCATAGTGGGTTTGTTGATATTAACTGACTCATTAACGACATTGTCTAAAGCCTAAAATAATAAGTGAACAGAAGGCTTATTATTCCTCTTCATTATAAGACTATATACTATGTCTCTAGTGTAAAATAAAATAAATTTAGAATATTATACCTTCTATATGTATTAATCCACACCTTAGAGAATATATAGCTGGATACTTGTTAGTTAAAATTGTCTATCTTGCACATAACAGATATCTATCTAACTGTGGAAGTATCCAGAATAAATAGGGAAATAAAAGCATCCTGAATCAAGTGTTTCTAAGAGCTAGACTTTGGTGGGGGGAAAAGGCAACTTTCTTTATTAAAAGGGCCCAAGGTATTGACATTAAGTATCAAATTACAATTCAGGGACACAATGTCCCAGTGAATTCTAAATACTAACTACTAAACTTCTTTCATTAAGAAGATGCTGAGGGCAGTTTCCAAGAGCAACTTTTGGAAGAACAAAGCAGCATGATCAGCACTGCTTAAAGCCAATAACAATTCAAAGAAGTTTGATATCTGAAAACCATTCCGTGTAGTGGATACCAGTACCTAGCTCGATGAATAAGTGGGATAACCAATATGCAGGGCCAGGGGCCAAGGCCATAGCACGTGCCCGAAGATGGTGGCTATGATTGGCGTAGATATTGTTGTTGTGGATGTTAGATGGAAACACCATCATAACAAAAGGAATATAAAAAGCTATATGCTTCATGGTAGACCCAGAGCTTAAGCACAGAAGAAGTGTGGGAACTGGGGATCGCAGTGGAGCAGTGATGACAAAGGAAGTGGAGGAGGGTAAATGGCGCTGCCATAGTGGCTGAGATGGCTACTGGGAAAGAGGGCATTCTGACTGCTGGGCAGAGCTCCCTTTAATGTTATTTCCTGTTATTACTTTCTTCCTTTCTAGTTGCTTTCTATTTATTCTGAAGTAAATTTATAACAGGTTTACCGCAGCTACTTTTTATTATTCCTTTATTTCCTGTTATTATTTTTCTTCTTTCGATTTGGTTTAGATTTGTTCTGAAATAACTTAAGAGTAGGTCTCTTTCCTGAAGTAATTTTTTCTGGTAATGACCTGGTAAACACCAGCTGGTCCTCTTTCTCTTTACTGCTAAATTTGTTATGAAGATAGTGTGTGTTTGTTTTTTTTAAGTGAATTCAGCAGCAGATAGTACAAACCTACCCTTCAGTAGCATCTGAATGCAACCTCCACCTGAGACCATGTACTTGAAATTGTTACTTCAGACATGTAGGAGAATTTGGTAGCAGCCAGAGTTAGTCCTAAAATTCAGGCTGAATATCTTACCAGTCTTTCTCAAAATAAACAATATACAAAGCTCTAGTACAATGTATTATACTCTGCACTCAACAAGTCATACCACCTGCAAAATCTAAGAATAAGAAACTATAAATTTGTAAAATGAACAAAATACCTTTTCCCCTGGTAATATCAGTTATCATTCTGAGACTCAGGCCTCTTTCCATTGAGTTCACCAGGACAAAATGTTTTCCACAATGTCTTATAAGCGGTTATATGCTGACTCGGTGTTGGTACATTAAGTTAAAGTTAACAAAAGTTTCTTACTACCAGTGCATTACCTGATGGTATCAAAGCTTTCCTTGGCCATG